CTCAAGTGAGCTGAGAGAACACTGTGCACAATTTGGCCATGTAAGAAAGTGCACTGTTCCTTTTGACAAAGAGACTGGCTTTCACAAAGGTATGGGTTGGATTCACTTTTCTTCAGAAGAACTTAACAATGCACTACAACAGGAAAATCATGTTATTGATGGAGTAAAGCTCCATGTTCAACCTCAAAAACCTAAAGCTTTACAAGGAGACCAAACATCTGATGAAGAGAAAGATTTTTGAGACCCTCACTGCCTACTGAATAAAGTAAATAAAAGAGGGGGGAAAAAAAAAAGAAATGAAAGGAAAAACGATAGTTAAAGTATTGGTAGTGTGCATAGAAAAGAGCCTAAGGGCTAAAGCAGGAAGATTGAGGCAGATGGTAGGAAGTGAAGTCAGAGAGAGAATGGTGGTGGTTTAGTCACTAATTAGAGCTCTTGCAGCACCCAAGACTGTGTCCCACCAGGCTCCTCTGTCCATGAGATTTCCTAGGCAAGAATACTGGTGTAGGTGGCCATTTCCTTCTCACGGGTCTTCCCAGCCCAGAGAGAGAATCCATGTCTCCTGCATTGCAGGCAGTCTCCTGCTCTGCAGATAGATTCTTTACCTCTGAGCCACCAGGGAAGCCCAGATAACAGAGTATCAGATAATATTGGGCCTTAAAGGTAGTTAGAAGAACTTAGATCTTACTCTAAAATAACTACTAATACAAAAAACTTCCCATATTAATATTACTAATAGAAGTACACATGTAACTAAAACAAAGCAAACACAAATTGTTTAGTAAACTTTTTAAGAAGAAAGACCAACAATAAAGCAAGAAACAAAAATTTTATGACATAAAATTTGATGACTGAAAGATTAAATATATGTTATATTAATAAATATAAATAGGCTAAACTTTTCTTATTAAAAAAATCCCAGATTAGATCACAAAGAAAACTACAGTCATTCCTAAAACAAAGAAACTCAGGAAAAATCTGAATGAAGAAAAATTCAAGATATTTTGAGAAAAACAGACTAAAATAGAAAGACAAGTTTCTTGAGTGAAAAGACTCAAAATCAAAATAGATGTCAGTTTCCTTTTGTTAATCCATGGAGTTAATAAGATCTCAACTTCAAAACAAACAAACAAAAATCCCTAACATTTTATTGAGCACTTACTCAATGCCAGGCTCTTTCTAAATGCTTTATGTGTATTTATCATTTTGTCTTCATGGCAACTTTATGTGGTAACTACTGGTATTACACTTTGCCCATTTTTCAGTTAAAACTAAGGCACGAAGAGGCTAATGAACTTGCAAAGGCTGCAGTTAGAGTACATTACAGAATCTTATCAGGATTAATTATAAATTCTATGCTCTTAGTCCCAATACAGTGTTACTTTTGAAGCTGATTGGTGTCATGAGTGTGTGTGTGTCTTTGTGCATATGTGTGTAACTAAAAATACTGACTCTGAATTACATATGGAGATACAAATAAGCAAAAATAGCAAGGAAAATTCTTAAAGGAAAGTAATAAGGGAAAATACCCCACCCTGCTAGATGTAAAAATATAAAGCTAGAATGTTAAAACGGTAGCTCACTTGGTAAAGAATCTGCCTGCAGTGCAGGAGACTTGCATTCTATCCCTGGGTCAGGCAGATCCCCTGGAGAAGGAAATGGCCACCCACTCCAGTACTCTCGCCTGGAAAATTGTATGGACAGATGAGCCTGTAGTCAGTGGGGTTGCAGAAGTCAAGCATGACTTAGTGACCAAACCACCACTAGAGCATGAACATACAGATCATTGGACAGGAAAAGATCCAAGTTGATGTAGGTATTTGGAAAATTAAAAAGGTAGCATTTAAAATAAGAGGGAAAATGAATTATTAAATATAAGGGATAGCTATGTTATCATTAGAGGTAAGTTGGATTGCTACTTCTTAACTGACTAAAATTAATTCCTAATGAGTCAAAGATTTAAACCTGAGAAAATAAACTAGAGGCCATGGAAGAATTTTATAATATTCTCAAAGTAGGGAAACCTGCTAAGATACATGACACAGGCCCCTTAAACCGCACAGAAAAGATTGAAAAGTTTGACTCTTAAAACATGAAAATTGTGTTCTTACAAAAATGCCATTAACAAAGTAAAAATTAAAAACAAGGAAATTTTTATAACCAAAGGGTTTTTGGTTGACCAACGGGTAATTTTCTTACTATTTAAAGACTTTCTACAAAATAATATTCAAGACCAAGATCAAGATTCAAAAAATGACAAAAGATGTAAATACTTTGTGCATAGGAAAACAAATACAACTAACTCTTAGATTAAAATATGTATAAATTATCACTCAATACAAAACAAATGCAAATTACAGTTGTGGTGAAACTGTTCACCTGCAATATTGGCAACATAACAAAGTTTGATAGTAGTCCATTGTTTAGGAGGGCATAGAGACCATTTAGTGGTCTAATTCATTTAGTGAATTAGAGTATATTTGATAGGTATATGAATTCATATAACCTCCATGAAAAACAACTTGGTAATAACTTTCAAAAGTTGAAGAGCACATATCTTTAACCTAGCACTTTCTCTTGAAGTATTTTGTTCTCGGATGTCTGTGCCCACATGTAAGGATATTCATTCGAGTATCATGCTCCTGTTTAGTTGCTTCGGTTGTGTCTGACTCCATGGGATTCTCCGGAAGGCAAGAATACTAGAGTGGGTTGCCATGCCTCCTCTAGGGGATCTTCCTGACCCAGGGATTGAACCCAGGTCTCCTGCATTGCAGTCAGGTTCTTTCTCATCTGAGTCACCAGGGAGAATCAAGTATCATGTATCTAATGACAGACAACCTTTTATTATAATGTATTAAAGGGACAAATGACTAGTGGGACTATAGCATGCTACCATTTGCATTTTAAAAAATCTCCACAAATGCTTAGACATATATGCACACACACACACACACACATAATAGTGTCTGATAGACTATCCAGATTTAACCAGTTACCTCTGGAGAGGAGAACTGAGCAGCTGGGCCACAAGGATGGGAGGAAGACCAATATTTTGTGTAAAATAATTAACTTTTTTACTTAGTTTTTTGTTCTTTTGAATTTTATATTATAGACTTACTTTTTCTGGTCTAACTAAATAAGTTAACTTAAACATTTAAAATAAAAGCATCTTGTTAAACCATAGCTAAGCATCGTAAGAACTGATCCTTTTGAATTGTGGTGCTGGAGAAGACTCTTGAGTCACTTGGACAGGAAGGAGATCAAACCAGTCAATCCTAAAGGAAATCAATCCTGAATATTCAATGAAAGGACTGATGCTGAAGCCGAAGCTCCAATACTTTGGCCCCCTGATGCAAAGAGCCAACTCATTGGAAAAGACCCAGATGCTAGGAAAGATTGAGGGCAGGAGGAGAGAAGAGCTGCAGCAAAGGATGAAATGGATCACCGACTCAATGGACATGAACTTGAGCAAACTCCAGGAGATAGTGAAGGACAGGGAAGCCTGGCGTGCTGCAGTCTATGAGGTCACAAAGAGTTGGATAATACTTAGATACTGCACAACAACAAAGCATCCTAAAGTTATACTTGAGCCAATTGAGACCTACAGAGGACAAGATCCAGGTCCTGTGTATTTTGTATAGTAGATGGTTAGCAGTATTGAGGCCTGGGTTCTAATCCTGATTCTGATATGTGGCTGTTTGTAAGTCACTTTCCCTCTCTGAGTCTCAGTTTTCTCATTTGTAGAATAAGAGTTTGGACTCATTTTCCTTTTCAAAACATCTTTATGGAGCTAAGGATTCTTTGGTCCCCATTAAAAGTGTTGAAGCAAAGGATTAGGATTGTAGGATTTCCCAGCACACCTGTATTTAACCAGAGCCTTCTTTGATCTCTGAGTAAAATTGAGTTTAACTAAATATTTTGAAACAAAAAGAATCTGAAGGTGGCAGTCTACACTAAAGTTATGTATATTAACTTAAAGATTCTTAATGACGGCATCAAAACATTAATGTGTGATGATCAGCTGTGAAGTCTCAAGTGATTTAAGTGGTTTTTTCCATTTTTAGAAAACAGTCTTGCATTCTGCATGCTTTCTTAAGCTGGTAAGAGGTAGGAATTTATGATACTAACTTGAAAGATGTCTGTTATACGTCATAGTCTTGTTAGGTGTGCATTGTCTTAGAGTCCTAAATGATTTTTGTTTGGATTCTTGGAGTGGAATATAATATCTGGCTCTGAGGCTAATATGTTGGTTTTTAGTCCATTAATGTGTTCTTTTCTTCCTCCTTTAATACTTTTTGAGCCTAGGAAATTAAAAGGTACAAGGGGGTAAATTAAGCATTTAGCAAGTCATAAACATATTCAATAATCTTTCTGAAACTTAGTTTAATTGTGAGAGCCTAAATTCTAAACCTAAATGCACAATGACACTACTTTTTGAGGAAGTAGTAAAGGTGGATAATTAGTGTGAGTCCCTCCTAATATTCAGAAGATGATAAGGATTAAAGACTCCAGGAATGAAGTTGCCTGACCAAATTAAAACAGAAAAAGGAGAGTAAACAGAAAGACTAGCTGTTTACCCAATAACAGTAGAGTAGTGATATAGCTATTTAATAACTGTCTTATGCCTAATAAGACGTAAAGGAAATGCAGGTCTAAAAACTAGTAAGAGGAACAAGAAACAAAGTTTTGTTTAGACTTGACAGTGCTTAAAACCAGTATTAAGTGTTTAAAAAACTAGACGAAAAAACAGTTTGTATGGGTGTCTATGTGTAAATGTGTTTGTATGAAATCTTGAAATAAACCAAAATGTGCATCACTAACATCTTAGGATGAAAAGAGTTTGAGAGACTTTTCCTTTAACTGGATTTTTAAACTTTTCTGCTAAAGAATATATATTATTTAAATGATTTAAAAGTTGTTATTTATTATATTCATACACATACGTATATATAGCATTTGTTGTGTGCCTGACAAAGGACGTGTCTTTTTGTATTTTCTAGGTACACCAGAGGCTCTCTTCTTGGCCTAATTTGGGAGTTGTTTATTGCAGTACTGTTGTGCCCTCTGATGGTGAGTTATGGCAAATTTTTTTAATATCCAGTGCTTTTTTTTTTCTTTCTCACTGTTTCCCACTCTCAGATTGTCATACAAATTTATTTTTCTTAAAAAATAGGCCAGAATCAAAACAATTTTTGAGAGTTTCAATAAAGAGAGAATTTCTCCAGTATAAACATATTGTTCATAGTGATGAATCCTCTCAGCTTTCGCGGAAGCGTTTCACTTAAAAACTTCTTGTTTTTATACTATTGTCTAAAATTGTTAAATATTTGGTGTCAGTATCAATAAATATATATTCATTAAGCTATATATATTCAGTGGCAACTAAGTCACATTCCAGTAGGACTCTTGTAACAGTTTTATTATGATATTCAGTGGCAAATAATTTGAACTAATGATTTTATATTGAAATTTTTATTATTAATTCTATCATGTAATACAGTTACTATTATCCTGTGTACCAGTCTGTATGTTCTACATGCTGTGCTTAGTCGCTCAATCATGTCCGACTGTTTGCAATCCCCGGACTGTAGCCCACCAGGCTCCTCAATCCATGGAGATTCTCCAGGCAAGACTACAGGAGTCATGTCTTTCAATAATTTAACAATAGTAAAGTTGTACAGGTGTGTCTGGCTGAATATTATCCCAGAACATAAATGCTAGTATGTTGACTCTATGTTATATGAAGGGTTGAAGACAATATTTTTACAAAGGTAAAATGATACATACTTTTGAAAAAGTTGCTCCCAAAATTCCTACGAATACTATTGTCCTTCTTAAGAAAATCAACTTGTATTACTTATCAAAAAACAGAAGCAGAAAATTATTTGATTTAATGCAATTTGTTGTCCTTTCTACTGTCAATTTATGTACCTTTCTTATTTAGTACTTCTAAATTAATCTTACTTTAAGCTGGTATAGCATATAAGAAAACTCTGCTTAACGCACAGCTACTTCAACAGAATTTAGCCACCAATAGTAAACATCTCTCCCATCATTCATTCTTCCCTACTGTCACAGCTACTGGGTCATGTTCTATTAATATATCAAATGAGGGCTTGATCCTCTTTTTTTAAAAAAGTGCAAAATCCAAAATACTACATTATATACCTGGTGGACTATAGTCCAGGGGGTCGCAAAGAGTCAGACAAAACTGAGCACACACACACAAGCAATAATATATATATATTATATGTGTATATAATATATATACTGTCTCTCAGTAATTGCTTATTAGTTTTGTTGTTTGACAAAATGTTCTAGTTATGACTATGATAGCTGTTGCAAAATATAGAGTATCTTAAATGTTTAACCTCCCTACCAAAGCAATCTAAAAGGTTCTTAATTTTACTTATGTCATAAATACTTTTGAGGATCTGGTAAGAGCTTTACATTCTCTCTCAAGAAGAAAATTTTATATACACATAGGAAATGTTACATATAATTTCTTAGTGGTACAGGCTCTCTCAACCCAACTCATTGCATCCCTGGTCTCATGAACCTCAACTCAAGAACTGTTTCGGCCACATTGTGCACACACGCACATCCCTGTGCCCGTGCCCGTGGTCCCTTTCATGAGACGCATTATGCTCAGAGGTTGTGTTTAGGTTTGTAATCAGGATTTGCATCCCAATTTTCACTTTTAAGCCTTGGTTTAATCTTAGACAAAGTAATTACCTTCTTAAAACCTCCTGCCAAAAAAAAAAAAAAAACACCTCCTGCCTTATATGTGAAGTGGAGATAGTAATAATTACTACCTCCAAGAGAAAAATGTACTTATCCAACAAAAACTCTTATTGTATAAAGAGTGGTGTGTGTGTGGTAGCGTTAAAAACCTTAATCAAAACAATGTGATTTAGGGCTTCTCATTTTAATTTTTCTATGCCCCAGATCTTCCTTTAGTAAAATGACTATCTGAAATTTTTATGATTGTATGGTTTATAACCTATTTAAAGGCTTTCAAAACTTTCAGGGGTTCCCCTTCATAGTAATGAAAATTAAGGATTAAGAATGAGAACAATTCTGCTATAGACAGGTTGACTATATAATTTATCACCCAACCCAGGACACTTTTGAGAACACGTGGAGAACAACCAGAGTTGTCCTGACAGTTTTAAATACAGTAAGCCAGGACATATCTTCACTGTAGGTAAGCTGAGTAAGAGCAAGAAAAATAGTCTCCCTAGCTGCCTTCATTTCTCTATCCAGAAATGTAATGCTACTTAGTTAGCCTTGAATTGAGAGCTGTGATAGAAAGAAATGTTGTTTTGTAGTTAACAAAAAATGTAAAATTTCCTTACAAAAATTGTTTGAGGACAATTAATTTTAGCAATGCACAGTTATCAAAATTCCTGTTTAATAATCAACAATAATCTGTTTAACCCACGTATAGATAATATATATAAATTCTTAACCTAAGTAACTAGATAAATGCCCTAGTTTTTTACTTTGTTTTTTGTCCTATTACTTTTTAAAAAGCTTTATTTATGTATATTTTATGTAACATAAAATTCACCTATCATCATGCAAGCATGACAATCCAGCTTTAGACTATTTCCTTATCCCTAAAAGTTCCCTTGTTCCTGTTTTGCAAGCAGTCCCTGCTCCTACCCTAAGCCTTAGGCAAACACTAATCTGCTTTGTCTCTCTGTGGTTAAACCTTTTTTAAATGTCACATAAGTGGACTCATTCCATATGTAGTCTTTCTCATCTAGCCTCTTTTACATATCCTAATGCTTTTGCGGTTTATCCATATTGTAGCATGGTTTGAAGGTCTTTGTTTTTATTGCTGCGTAGAATTCTAATATATGGAAATAAATGAAATACACATTTTGTTTTTTCATTCACCAAATGAAAAACATTTGGATTGTTTTCCATTTTGGACTATTAAGAGTAATACTGCTATCAACATTTGCGTATAAGTCTTTGTATGGATATATGTTTTTATATCTCTCGAGTAGATATTAGGAGTGGGATGTCTGGGTCATATGGCAAGTATATGCATGATTTCTTTATTGAGGTATAGTTGATTTACACTGATCTATGTGTACAGCAAAGTGATTCAGTTATACATACATATGTACATTATTTTCAGATTTTTCCTATTATATGTTATTATAGATATTGAATATAGTTCCCTGTGCTATTCAATAGGTCCTTGGTTTTTGATGTATTTTATATATGGTAGTTTGTATCTCTTAATTGCAAATTCCCAATTTATCCCTTCCCCCTCTTTCCCCTTGGGTGCAAGTGTGTTTTCTATGTCTGTGAGTTCATTTCTATTGTGTAAATAAGTTCATTTGCATTTTTTAGACTCCACATATAAATGATAGCATACAATATTTGTCTTTGACTTACTTCACTTAGTACAATAATCTCTAGATCCATCTGTGTTACTACAAATGGCATTGTTTAAACTTTTTATGGCTGAGTAATATTCCATTATTTATGTATGTATGTATTTATATATATATATATCCCACATCTTCTTTATCCACTCATCTGTTGATGAACATTTAGGTTGGTTCCACGTCTTGGCTATTGTAAATAGTGCTGCAGTGAACATTGGGGTGCATGTATCTTTTCAAATTAGAATTTTCATTTTTTCCATATATATGCTCAGGAGTAGGATTGCTGGAACTTGTGGAAACTCTATTTTACTTTTTTAAGGAACCACCTTAATGTTCTCCATAGCTGATACACCAATTTACATTCACACTAACAGTGTAGGAGGTTCTCTTTTCTCTACACCCTCTCCAGCATTTATTATTTATAGATTTTTTGATGATGGCCATTCTAACCAGTGTGAGGTGGTACCTCATTGTAGTTTTCATTTTCATTTCTCTAATAATTAGTGATGTTGAGCATCTTTCCATGTGCTTCTTGGCCATCTGTATGTCTTCTTTGGTAAAATGCCTATTTAGGTCTTCTGCCCATTTTTTAAATTGGGTTGGGGGTTTTTTTGGTATTGAGGTATACAAGCTGTTTGCATATTATGGAAATTGATCCCATTTTGGTCAGTTTGTTTGCAGATATTTTCTCCCATTTTGTACATTGTCCTTTTTGTTTTGTTTATGATTTCCTTTGCTGTGCAAAATTTTAGGTTTAATTAGATCCCATTTGTTTATTTTTGTTTTTAGTATTCCAGAAGGTGGATCCAAACAAATATTGCTGTGATTTATGTCAAAGAGTGTTCTGCCTAAATTTTCCTCTAGGAGTTTTATAGTATCTGATCTTATATTTAGGTCTTTAATCCATTTGGGGTTTATTTTTGTATATTGTGTTAGAGAGTGTTCTAATTTTACTCTTTCACATGTAGTTGCCTGGTTTTCCCAGCACCACTTACTGAAGAGACTGTCTTTTCTTCTCTGTATTCTTGCTTCTTTGTCTTGGATGAATTGACCGTAAGTGTGTGGGTGTGTTTCTGCGCCTGCTCTCCTGTCCTGCTGACCCATGTGTCTCTTTTCGTGCCGGCACCATGCTGCTTTGGCGGCTGTGACTTTGTGGTACAGTCTGAAGTCGGAAGCGAGATTCTGCTAGCTCCCTTCTTCTTTTTCAGGATTGTTTTTGGCTATTCAGAGTCTTTTGTATTTCCATACAAATTAAAGACTTTTTTCTTCCAGTTCTGTGAAAAATGTCACTGGTAATTTGACAGGGATTGCATTGAATTTGTACATTGCCTTGGGTAATATGGTCATTTTAACAATGTTGATTCTTCCAGTCTAAGAACACAGCTTATCAGTACAACTGCTTATGTGGTCTTCAGCTTCTTTCGTCATGTACTTAACTTTTTAAGAAAGTGCAAAACTGTTTTCCAAAGTGGCTGTCCCACTTTCATTCCTACCAGCAGTATTTAAGTTTTCCAGTCTCCCTATATCCTCCCCAACACTTGGTGTAGTCACACTTCTTGATAATAGACATTCTAGTGGATTTGTAGTATTATTTCATTGAGTTTCTAATTTGCATTTCACTGATGATCAAGATGTTGGGCATCTTTTAATGTACTCATTAAC